AGTGTGGTACTGGCAGAAAAACAGACACATAGATCAATGGAACAGAATAGAGAATCCAGAAGTGGACCCTCATCTTTATGGTCAATCCATATTCGATAAAGGAGGAAAAACTATCCACTGGAAGAAAGACAGTCTCTTCAATAAATGGTGCTGGGAAAATTGGATATCCACATGCAGAAGAATGAAACTAGACCATCCTTTTCACCATACACAAAGATAAACTCAAAATGGATGAAAGATCTCAATGTGAGACAAGATTCCTTCAAAATCCTAGAGGAGAACACAGGCAACACCCTTTTTGAACTCAGCCACAGTAACTTCTTGCAAGATACATCCACGAAGGCAAAAGAAACAAAAGCAAAAATGAACTATTGGGACTTCATCAAGATAAGAAGCTTTTGCACAGCAAAGGATACAGTCAACAAAACTCAAAGACAACCTACAGAATGGGAGAAGATATTTGCAAATGACGTATCAGATAAAGGGCTACTTTCCAAGATCTATAATGAACTTATTAAACTCAACACCAAAGAAACAAACAATCCAGTCATGAAATTGGCAAAAGACATGAGAGAAATCTCACAGAGGAAGACATAGACATGGCCAACATGCACATGAGAAAATGCTCTGCATCACTTGCCATCAGGGAAATACAAATCAAAACCACAATGAGATACCACCTCACACCAGTGAGAATGGGGAAAATTAACAAGGCGGGAAACAACAAATGTTGGAGAGGATGTGGAGAAAAGGGAACCCTCTTACACTCTTGGTGGGGATGTGAACTGGTGCAGCCACTCTGGAAAACTGTGTGGAGGTTCCTCAAAGAGTTAAAAGTAGACCTGCCCTATGACCCAGCAATTGCACTGTTGGGGATTTACCCCAAAGATTCAGATGCAATGAAATGCAGGGACATCTGCACCCCGATGTTTCTAGCAGCCATGTCCACAATAGCCAAACTGTGGAAGGAGCCTCGGTGTCCATCAAAAGATGAATGGATAAAGAAGATGTGGTTTATGTATACAATGGAATATTACTCAGCCATTAGAAATAACAAATACCCACCATTTGCTTCAACGTGGATAGAACTGGAGGGTATTATGCTGAGTGAAGTAAGTCAATCGGAGAAGACAAACATTGTATGTTCTCATTCATTTGGGGAATATAAATAATAGTGAAAGGGAATATAAGGGAAGGGAGAAGAAATGGGTAGGAAATATCAGAAAGGAGACAGAACATGAAGACTCCTAACTCTGGGAAACGAAATAGGGGTGGTGGAAGGGGAGGAGGGCGGGGGGTGGGGGTGAATGGGTGATGGGCACTGAGGGGGGCACTTGACGGGATGAGCACTGGGTGTTATTCTGTATGTTGGCATATTGAACACCAATAACAATAAATTTATTATTTAAAAAAGGGAAAATAAAAAATGATTATGTGTTAAAACAGAAAAAAAAACCTAAAAGACTCCACCCAAAAATTACTAGAACTGATAAATGAGTTCATTATATTCACAGGGGATATACACAATATACAAAATCAAGGTACAGAGATTTGTTGCATTTCTAAACACTAATAATCAAGCAGCAGAAAAATAAATTAAAATAATCCCATTACATTTGCACCCAAAACAATAAAATACCTAGGAATAACCTTAAAAGAGATGAAAGCCTTATTCTGAAAACTATAAAACACTGATGAAAGAAATTGAACATGACAGAAAGGACTGGAAAGACATTACATGTTCATGGAATGAAAGAACAAATACTTTTAAAATGTCTGCAATACCCTAAGCAATCTATGGTTTTAATACAATCACTAACAAAACAGCATTTTTTACAGAACTAGAAAGAAACAGTACTAAAATGTGTTTGGAAGCCACAAAAGACCCTGAATAGCCCAAGCAATCTTGAAAATGAAAAACAAAACTGGAGGTAGCACAGTTCCAAACTACAAGTTATATAACAAAGTTGTATTGATCAAAAGAGCATGGTACTGGCACAAGAATAGACACCTAGATCAATGGAACATTATAGAAGCCCAGGCATAATCCCACAATTATATGGTAATGTTCAACAAAGGAGGAAAGAATATGGAATGGGAAAAATTCTCTTCAACAAATGGTCTTGGGAAAACTGGACAGCTACATGCAAAAAATGAAACTGGACCACTTCCTTACACCATGCACATAATAAACTAAAAATGGATTAAGGACCTAAATGTGAAACAGGAAACCATTAAAATCCTACAGGAGAGAACAGGCAGTAGTTTCTTTGACATTGGCCATAGCAACTTCTTTATAGATATATTTCCTAAAATCTGGGAAACAAGCAAAAGTGAACTGTTGGAACTACATCAAAATAAAAAGCTTCTGTACAGTGAAGGAAACAACCAACTAAAAGACAACCTACAGAGTGGGAGACGATATTTGCAAATGACATATTTGATGAAAGATTGGTATCCAAAATATATATTTTTACAACTCAACACCTAAAAAAATCCAATAAAAGATGGGCAGAAGGCATGAACAGAAATTTTTCCAAAGAAGACATCCAGACACAAAAAGATGCTCAACATCACTCATTATCAGGGAAATGCAAATCAAAACCACAATGAGATATCACTTCACACCTGTCAGAATGGCTAAAATAAGAAAATTCAAGAAACAACGAGTGTTGGGGAGGATGTGGAGAAAAAGGAACCCTCATCCACAATGCAAACTTGTACAGCCACTCTAGAGAACAGAATGGCAGTTCCTTCAAAAGTTAAAAATAGAACTACCCATAATCACAGTACTGAGTATTTACCCAAAGAATACAAAAATAGTATTCAAGGGGATACAGGCACCCTAAAATTTATAGCATCATTATCAATGATAGCCAAGCTATGGAAAGAGCCCAAATGTCCAAAAATGGTGAGTGCATAAAGAAGATGTAGATATATAGAGTAGAATATTACTCAGCCATCAAAAAAGAATGAAATCTTGCCATTTGCAATGACATGGATGGATCTAGAATGTATTATGCTGTGAAAAATAAGTCTTTTTTCTTAGAGAAAGACAAATACCATATTATTTGACTTACATATGTAATTGAAGAAATAATACAGATGGACATAAGGAAGGGGAAAAATGAAAAAAGAGAGAGGGAAACAAACCATAAGACTCCTTAAAAATGGAGAACCAACTGAGGGCTGATGGATGGAGGTGGGTGGGGATTGGCTAAATGGGTGATAGAAATTAGAAGGGCAGTTGGGTTTTTGTTTATTTGTTTTGTTTTGTGTTTTGGTTTTTTAAAAAAGATTATTTCAGAGAGAGAGAGCTTATGCACACAAGTTGGGAGAAGGGCAGAAGGAGAGGGAGAGAAGTCCTCAAGCTGACTCCCAGCTGAGCATTGAGCCTGTGGTGGGGTTTGATCCCAGGACTCTGAGATTATGACCTAAGACAAAATAAAGAATGGAACACTTAACCGACTGAGCCACCAAGGCACCCCAAAGGAGGGCACTTGTTATAATGAGCACTGGGTGTTGTAAGTAATGAATCATTGAATTCCACGACAGAAACCAATATTACACTGTATGTTAGCTAACTAGAATTTATTTTTATTTTTTTTGCTAACTAGAATTTAAATAAAAATTTGAAAATAAAAAAACAGTATTAAAACATAAAATAGCATAAAATAATTTGATTATTAGAAGTTAGATTATTATTTAATTAATTATATATCTAATAACAGCTTAATATTCTAATTAATCCTACAAGCTATTAATTCCAAGAGATACAATGGAAGGTTAAATTAACATATTTATTAAACTTTTAATTTTTTTGTATTGTATTTTTAATTCAGCTATAGTTAGAATACAGTATTACCTTAGTTTCAAGTGAATATTCCCCCATCCCCCTACCTCACCTCTGGTATCAACAATTTGTTCTGAGCCTGTTTCTTTTTATTTGTCTCTTTTTTTTCTTAGTATGTTTTGTTTCTTAAATTCCACATATGAGTGAAAAGCATATGATATTTGTCTTTTTTTACATTCATTTTTTTTAGAGAAAGTCACAAGGTATGCTTGCTAAATTTAAATGTATTTCTATATAAAACATTTTGATAGTAGTCCATGAAAATAACCAAAGTTTCTATCACATCTTGCTCATCTGGAAGCATTTGGAATATAAATATGATCTGAGGTCTCTCTCTCTCCTTAAATTCTAAAGGAGATTGGCTCAAATATCTTTTTTTTCCAGCGTCCTTCTCTTCTTTTTGCATACCTACTTGTTATTATGATCCAAAGACATAATTCACTCAAAAAATGAAATCCTTTCACCAAGTATTGAATTTACTGAAAAATTTTTTGATAATTAGGAAAGACCACAAAAATTGATGCCATAAATTAGAACAGTATAAATTCACACATGAGACACTCATTTTCTTTGAGGGCCTTTTAGCCACCTCATAACTGGGAATCTCCTGTTGTCATATTACCTAATATAATTATCTGTTATCCTTCCTGTTCTCTTTCTCATCAATTTTTTCACATGGAATAGTAAACTATCTTCCTGTGCTATTCATACCCATAATTTTAAGACCTCAACTGCCCACTTCAGAGTTCTCAACCTTAACTGCTCACAATAATCATGTGGACCCTGCCCCCAGAAATGTCTCAGGTGGAGCCTGGGTTATTTTTTTTTTAATGCTTTTTAGATAGTTCTTTAACTCAAAGAACTAATCAAATTATTTTTTCAGATAGTTCTCTTTTTAAGTTGACTTCTAGTGCTAAATGGTAAGGAAATAAAATTTCTAACTTCTCACATATAGTTACATCTTTACAGTCTGAAGGCACATAGCTTATTTCACATTTATTTCAATGTTTCAATTATTACATTATTTTGTTTTTTGTATTTTTATGCCAATTCTTGATAATGTGAATTCTGAAATTTTCTTCAATTTTTTTTATGTATTATCCATCCACAATCTGTGTGACTATTTTTCACTTCCTTTTGCTTTTAGTATTGTATCAACTTTTCCTGTGTAGAAATTCAATACCAGATAAATACTCAGCAGTGCAATTCTTCTTATTGCAATAGCCATGGAGTAAGTAATTTTCATTTTCATTTTAAACAAGATGCTTTGAACAATTCAGTGAAATAGTTCAGAGATTTTTAAAAATTATTTTAATAATTTTAAAATAATTTTCATACTGCTTAATGTCATTTAACAGTCAATAATTTATAACTTCAAACTTATTTTCTTAAGAAATTTTGCCAAACTATTTATTAGAGAAAATAAAGTAGAAATGTTTAAGATGATTCTGGATGTATAATAGTGTTTGGTAAACATATGGGGCGGATGTACTATGTGCACCATGTATTATAACATAACCAAAATGATCTTATTTTCACAGAGGGAAGGTAGAAACTGGTAAACAAAAGCCATTAGAATTTTTCTTCTAGTTCTTGCTTGTTAATCAGAGTTTGGACTGTTCTATGGAACTAGCAACTAAATGATAATTAGTGGAATGTTACTGGTAATTACCAATATTTGGGTCTGACAATGGTAAGAGTTTTAGAATTTTTTTTAAAAAATTGCTTTGGCAGCAGAAGCTGAATATACTTTCTAAAGTATGGACAACTTCAAGAGAAAATTTATGAAAATTTATTAAATTTGTCTGTTTAAGTTAAATTCTGTGGACTGGATGAACTCTCTGAAATAAATTCTCTATTGAATAAGTATAGAATATTCATTGGCCTGTAGTTTTTGGTCCATAAATAGAACAAATTTTTATTTGTTCTATTTTCTGATTACTCCAGGTTTGCAACAATTTACATCATTGCCACTGTGAACAGGGGTTTGCTCCTCCTACATGCCTGGAGAAGAAGGGAGAATTTGGAAGTATAGATGATGGGCACAAGGCTCCATCCGGTTAGTATTTTTCAAATTTCATTAATCCAAGACAATATGTGAGAGAAGAAATGAAAGTATAGGTTCCAAGTTAGGTTACAAAGAAACTGATACCAACAAATATGTTTTTGTTTCATTTGGAAGATTTTTAAATCTAAGACAGTAGAAGTTCATTCTGTACTTTTTATATCAACATTGACATGGTTTGCTAACAAAAAGTCTACCCAGTGTTAGGCAATTTAAAAGTAGAAATTCTGGTGCAAAAAATTCGACTAGTTAATTTAGATTGATTACTTTGGATGGTCTCACACATTTCAGGTTTAAAATAGTGTTTGTTAGTAGTCATTGTCATATTAATGCCATCAGATTTTTTTTCAGGCTATTTTTCATTCCTTTTTACTGCATTGTAAGGACTCCAGTCTAATATTTTGTACTATCCTCTGTAGAATATCTCCCCTGGGGTCCCCGAGTAGTATTTTGAGATTAAGCAGCCCTGTATAGGACTGGGAATACCTGGGAGATATTCCTTGGTTTTAGAAGATATTGGAACCCACCTAGAATAACCTTGAAGCAGAGGCCGTCCACCTTCACCACTTTTCTTTTGGGACAAATAAATAATGAAACTCTGGCAGATTTACCTGAAGCTTGGATACTAGGGTGACCAACTTTTACAGAGCTAGCACACAGTCATATTAAACTCTATCAGACCAAAAAAAAAAAAGGAATAATAGTTTAACATGTAACATATAATTATACATATATTATTATTTTCACATAAATATGTGTAAAATAGATATTTTTTTAAAATTACATATTCTGTATTTTTTATTTTTTGTTACATAAATGCTGTTATTTAAGCAAAACAATAGAGCTAGTTACCAGTGTCAATTGATAGCATTCTATAGTATAACCAATAAGTGAGCAAAAATGTAACAATATTTTATAATGACAATATTTTATAGTATGTCCTTTGAAATAGCAATTGATGTTTACCTCTTTTTAAAAAGTCTTTCCTCAGTATTTAAATTTTACAAGCTATCTTATTGTATATTATTAAGATTCATAAATGCAAGAATTTTCAAAATGAGAATATAAATATAGTAGGAATAATTAAAAGTTTGACTATTTTTTTTAAAGATTTTACTTATGTATTCATGAGAGACACAGGGAGAGAGGTAGAGACATAGGCAGAGGGAGAAGCAGGCTTCTGTGGGGAGTCTGATGCAGGACTTGATCCCAGGACCCCCAGACCTGAGGCAAAGGCTGTTGCTCAACCACTGAGCCAACCAGGTCCTAAGAAGGAAAACTTTTGGGCAGCTTCAGCTGATGGATTCAGGCTCTTTCAGGAGAAAAACCTTTTTTTTCTGTATCTGATGTTCACCTATAAAGTTTGGTAGGGGTAAGAACTATGTTTCAGGGAATTTGATTTAACAGTTAAACTCTTGAGTCATAAAGGCTAAGACAGTTGGGGGTAATCAAAGGGAGGAGGTGAAACACCATGAATAATTAAGTGCCTGAATAATTCCCTGAGACACCTTGGAATGAAATAGAAGAAACTTGAAGGCATATTACTAAGGACTAGTCTTAACCAAAAAGAAAAAAAAAAAAAAGGACTAGTCTTAACCAATGGAAAATGGAAACCCAGAGTGATTAAATGAAGAAAATATTCTTTCTCAGTTATTATTAGAAGTGCCTGTTAGAACTAGACAGAGGGTAAAGAGGTATGACCATTTTTTCTGGTTCCTAGAAATCCTACTTATGTTCTGAGACCACTTGGGCATATATTACATTCCTTTTCAAATAACCCATGTAGTATCCTTGATTATCCACAAGACTATGCAAGTAGCCAAGACTCAATCTGCAGTATTTAGCCAGAGTGGATGCTCTCTTCATTTGATTTACTGGCTTTATCATTACAAATATTATGTAATCCTCATCCCAGAGATATTGAGAACCCCATTCACAAGCAGAAAGTTAGACTGGAAAGAAAGGTTTGCTCCTAGCTTGAACTGACTTGAAAAATGATATGGGAACTGGGGGAGAAGCACTGGGGCAGTCCTAAGAAGAGGATATTGAGCTGTGATCATGCCTGACTATAACTGGGTGGTGGTGGTGGTGGGGGTTTCTTTACTTGTCAGCTTCCCCATTGTTTCAACTGGGAGAGAAATGATAGAGCAGTATTTTATACCAATTAAAAAAAAATGCTTGCCAATTGTGGAGAAAGCAGAGCTTGATGCATTATAAACCCAGATAGGTGGCTGGTATGTACAGAGGTGGAAGTAGAGGAGGCACATAGATCAGATGCTCAGGAATGAATACAGAGGTCAGCTGAGAATGAATAAGAACTGATGGGGAGGGACACCTGGGTGGCTCAGTCAGTTAAGCATTAGACCTGATTTTGGCTCAGGTTGTGATCTCAGGGTCATGAGATTGAGCCCTGTGTTGGCTCCCTGCTCAATGGAGAATCTGCTGGAGAGTCTGTCTCTCTCCCTTTGCACCCCTGCTCACAGGCATGCATGTGTGCTTTCTCTCATTAAAATAAATAAGTAAATATTTTTTTAAAATAAGCTAATGAGAAAAATGTGATATTAACATTAGTTGGTCAGAAATGTGTCAAAGCCAGGCTGAGCCATGCATTCTACAAAATAATTATAGAGCCATTTTAATAATTTATTGCTATATATTTGATTAAAGAACTTAGTTAAATAATTATTTAGTGACTACTAATTTTTAATTTTTAGAAAGATATTTAAGTAACGTAAAAGAAATTAAATGCCACACTTCCCAGGTTTAATTCTCATTTGTGGGTACAATCTACAATCTCAATACTCTCTATGATATACATGTTTGAATTTTGGATAAGCTATATCAGATAGAAACTGAAGAAATATTTGCAAGTATTAAGCATGTGCTTCATAAAAGATTATCTTCAATCAAATAAATCACTGTATGATGTAATGTTGAAAACTCATAGACATCAGTAGAATACCAGTAACAGTCTATTTTACATGGTAATTTAATATTTAATATTTTATTACATTCATAATTCATAATATATGTGAGTGAAATATTTAGTGTTTGGGAATAATGTTGGTAATGATATTCTCTCCATATTTTTGTTTGGTTAATAAAATCTCTTAACATAATTTGAAATGGTTATTTTCCATTATAGGTAAAAGCAACTTGAGGGAAGGAAATACCACTCCTTCAAAACACCAATTTCAACTCATTTTCTACATTTCTCTACCTGTGCTCATCATCACTGCTGTTGTCTTAATAAAGCATAAAAAAATAAGAGAGCTGTGCTACAGAGGGGAAACTGAAAGTGAGAGGTATATGTATGTTTACTCTTACTAAATTTAATGAGTCAAGGAAAAAGTACTCATGTTTCATCAGGAATAATCTAAGACTGTAGATAGAATAATGTGAGGAGAGGTGGAGGGATACATTTCAAAGCAGTTTGATACCCTCCCTTTTTTTTCCTAGTTTTACTCATTACTAACACCATTCATTTTACCACTAGTATCACTTGAAGAGGAGATATGGCTGACAAGAGTATAGCAGAAGTTTATTCAGCCTCTTAGTCTGCCAACCCTATCTAAATAGTTTCATTGTCCAAAGGCTTCTGAGAATGTGTAACACCGAACTTCAAGGGAACTTTCAAAAGATAAATTTTTTAGCTACAGATTCTCAGAACAGTGGTAAACAACTTTTTCAGAAGAGCTCTCTCAGCCGAAGATAGTATTTATGAACCTACTTCCAAAATATTTATTTTCTTAAATATTGATGCTGCTAATTTATAAAGTCATTTATAAATGACATGTGCAGTTCAAAACACACATTAGGAGATAGGAGGAAGCATCATGAAATGGAAAAAAATGTATTTAGCTTGAGAAACCCTAGTTTTACTTCCTAAATCTTACATGCAGAAACTACGATACCTTGAGCAAGTTTAATCTCTATGTTCTTAAGCTTTCTCTCTATATACAACTCTACAAAATGGGAGATAAAAATAGCTTTCCAATATATCATGAACTTTTGATTATACTAAATTGGTAAGTGCAATCACTACATTATGTGTAACCAGTTAAATAAATATTTAGACATGATTATTAAGCCCTTATTCATAATTTACTATATTTTTCCACAGAGGTATTTTCCTCTAGTTTTAACTTCCAGGAATTGGTAGGAAGAAAAGATACAAACACGTGTTATGAAAGAAAGAAAAAATAGAAAAATGTAGAAAAATTAACAAATATTTGACTGCTACTTTAAGTTTTTGGCTTAACTTGACCTGAGAAGTTAAGGATATCATAGAATCAGAGGATGTGTCTGTACAAATGTGGGCCTATAAATAATTGAATAAATGTAAAATGAAGATAAGAGGAGTTAATCAACAAAGCAAGGTAGATGATGGCATTTCCAATATGAAACATCCATCTATGGATGAATGGATAAAGAAGATGTGGTATATATACACAATGGAATATTACTCAACCATAAAAAGAATGAAATCTTGCCATTTGCAATAACATAAATGGGCCTACAGGGTATAATACTAAGTGAAATAAATCAATCAGAGAAAGAAAAATACCATATGATTTCACTCATATGTGGAATTTAAGAAACAAAACAAAGGAACAAACAGAACTTTTTAAAAGAAACAAAAAACCAGAATCTTAAATAGAGAGAACAAACTGGTTACCAGAGAGGGTGTGGGGGCTTAGGTGAAAGAGATGAAGGGGATAATTGGTATAAAATACTGCATACTTTCCTTGATGAGCACTGAGTAATGTATAGAATTTTTGAATCATTAAATTTCCCCCATGAAATTAATATAACACTCACTGTATGTTAGTCTACTTCAAGGAAAAAAAAGAACAGTATCTATTTTATTGAAATGTATCTATTTTTGTTGAAAGGAGACATTTTATTTAATGAATCACTCTATTTCTTTGAAAAATATTCTTCATTCAAATAGTCACTTGGTTCAATATTTTTAAATTTCCACACTTAAAATAAATTTTGTCAATTTAATAGGTCTGTGTCAGAAGAAAGCAGTAGTAACAGCAAGTTATCACCCAGTGTAAGGTGAGTGTAGAACAATGTGATTAGCCATTGTGCATTGGAATTGTTTTTTTTTTCTTTTGGTGCATTGCATGTTTTGATCATTGCTTAGGAGAACTTCAAAATTGTTAATTTGAAACCAAAACATTTGTTCATAATATTCTTTATGGTTTTCACTATTATTAGTATTTATAATAATAAACAATAAAACTTGTTTTCTTGATATCTCAACCTCTCCTCCCCAATCTACACTAAAGGAGTGATTTTTGTGTATACACACACAAGCATCAATAAGCACATAATTTGTGAGATTTTTGTTTTGAGCATTGGAAAGGGGCACTTATATCTTAATGACATTTTACTGCCAAATACAAAGAGGGCTAATTTTATAAGGGATATCATTCATGCTTATAGTTACAGTTATCTCAGAAAAAATTACTATTAATAAGATAAAGCCTTAGAATTTTCATTCATTTTACTGTCTTAATTCATCTGAGAAAGTAAATTTAGAAATCAGATTATGCAGTAATCAAATAGAACATTTTATAAAATTATATATTCTCCCTTCACTGTCAGTATATAAAAATTTCTTTTACCACATGATGGATAGAATATAAAAGGAGAGAATATTTTATAGAGCACCTCAGATTATTTTTCAAGTTCTGTCTTCATCCTTGCAGTACAAGGTTGCATGCTGTGATATTTGTGTAACAAATGTTGGAATACATGTCTGAATTAGGGACATTATTAATTTTAAAAGAAGCACTATAGGGCAGCCCCGGTGGTGCAGTGGTTTAGCGCCACCTGCAGCCCGGGGTGTGATCCTGGATACCCAGGATCGAGTCCCACGTCGGGCTCTCTGCATGGAGCCTGCTTCTCCCTCTGCCTGTGTCTCTGCCTCTCTCTCTCTCTCTCTCTGTCTCTATGAATAGATAAATAAAATCTTTTTTTAAAAAAAAGACCAGAACCATGTGATCTTCTCGATAGATGCAGAGACAGCATTTGGCAAAATACAACATAATTTTCTGATTAAAACTCTTCAAAGTGTAGGAATAGAGGGAGTATACCTCAATATCACGAAAGCCATATTTGAAAAGCCCACAGAGGGGATCCCTGGGTGGCTCAGCGGTTTGGCGCCTGCCTTTGGGCCAGGGCGTGGTCCTGGGGTCTCGATCGAGTCCTGCGTCGAGCTCCTGGCATGGAGCCTGCTTCTCCCAATGCCTGTGTCTCTGCCTCTCTCTCTCTCTCTCCATCCCTCTCTCTCTGTCTATCATGAATATATAAATAAAAAAAATCTTTGAAAAGCCCACAGCAAATGTCATTCTCAATGGGGAAAAATAGAGTTTTCCTCTAAGTTCAGGAATATAACAGGGATGCCAACTCTTACTGCTGTTGTTTAACATAGTACTAGAAGTCCTAGCTTCAGCAATAAGAGAACAAAAAGGAATAAAAGGCATTCAAATTGGCAAAGAAGTCAAGCTCTCTCTCTTTGCAGATGACATGATACTATACACAGAAAACCCAAAAGACTCCACCCCAAAATTGCTAGAACTCATACAGAAATTCAGCAATGTGTCAGGATACAAAATCAATGCAGAATTCAGTTGCATTTCTATACACTAATAATGACACTGTAGAAAGAGAAATTAAGGAATCAATCCCATTTGCAATTGCACCCAAAACCATAAGATACCTAGTAATAAACCTAACTAAAGTGGTAAAGGATTGTTCTCTAAAAACTACAGAACACTTATGAAAGAAATCAAGGAAGAAACAAAGATATGGAAAAACATTTCATGCTCATGGATTGGAAGAATAAATATTCTGAAAATGTCTAGGTTACCCAGAGCAATTTACACATTCAATGCAATCCCTATTAAAATACCATGGACTTTCTTCACAGAGTGGAAACAAATAATCCTAAGGTTTGTGTTGAACCAGAAAAGTTCCTGAAAATAGCCTGAGGAATGTTGAAATAGAAAACCAAAGCTGGGGGCATCACAATGCCTGACTTCAAGCTGTATTACAAAACTCTGATCATCAAGACAGTGCGGTACTGGCACAAAAACAGACACATAGGTCAATGGAACAGAATAGAGAATCCAGAAATTAACCCTCAACTCTACGGTCAATTCAATTCTACAAAGCAAAAAACAATATCCACTGGAAAAAAAGACAGTCCTTCAACAAATGGTGCTGGGAAAATTGGACAGCCACATGCGGAAGAATGAAACTGTACCATTCTCTTATACCATACACAAAGATAAACTCAAAGTGGTTGAAGTATCTAAATTATGTGAGACAAGAATCCATCAAAATCCTAGAGGAGAACACAGGCAACAACCTATTAATAACTTGGCCACAGCAATTTCTTGCAACACTCATCTATGAAGGCAAGGGAAACAAGAGCAAAAATGAACTATTGGGACTTCATCAAGATAAAAAGCTTCTTTGCACAACGAAGGAAACAATCAACAAAACTAAAATTCAACCTACAGGGCAGCCCTGATGGCTCAGCAGTTTAGTGCATGATCCTGGAGACCTGGGATGGAGTCCTACGTTGGGCTCCCTGCATGGAGCCTGCTTCTCCCTCTGCCTGTCATTCTCTCTCTCTCTCTCTCTCTCTCTCTCTCTTTCTCTCTCTCTCTCTCTCTCTCACTCTGTATCTCATGAATAAATAAAGTCTTTAAAAAAATAAAATACAACCTACAGAATGGGAGAAGATATTCACAAATGACAGATAAAAGGCTAGAGTTCAAGATTTGTAAATAATGTATCAAACTCAACACCCAAGAAACAATCCAGTCATGAAATGGGCAGAAGACATGAACAGACATTTCTCCAAAGAAGACCTACACATGCCCATTGGCACATGAAAAAATGCTCCACATCACTTGCCATCAGGGAAATGCAAACCAAAACCACAATGAGATGCCACCTCACACTAGTGAGAATGGCGAAAATTAGCAAGACAGGAAACAACAAATGTTGGCAGGAATGTGGAGAAAGGAAACCCTCTTGCACTGTTGGTGGGAATGCAAGCTGGTGCAGCCACTCTAGAAAACAGTATGGAGGTTCCTCAGGAAGTTAAAAATAGAGTTACCCTTCGACCCAGCAATTGCACTATGGATATTTACCCCAAAGATTCAGATGTAGTGATATGCCAAGACACCTGTACCCCAATGTTCATAGCCATAATGTCCACAATAGGCAAACTTTGGAAGGGTCCATGGTGTCCTTATATGAATGAAGAAGATTTTATATATCTATAAAATGGATGGAAGTGGAGGGTATTATTGTGAGTGAAATAAGTCAATTGGAGAAAATTATCATATGGTTTCACTCATATGTGGCATATAAGAAATAGTGAAAGAGACCATAAGGGAAAGGGAGGAAACTGTGTGGGGAAAAATTAAAGAGGAAGACAAAAAGAGACTCCTAACTCTGGGACACAAATGAAGGGTTGCCGAAGGGGAAGTTCAGTGGAGGAATGGGGTAACTGGGTGATGGACATTGAGGAGAGCACATGATGAAATGAGCACTTGGTGTTATATGTTGGGACATTGAATTTAAATTAAATAAGAAATAAAAAATATTTCTTTTTTAAAAATATTTCTTAATTTGAAAAAAAAATTATCAGAATAAATATCATCATTGTATTTCTTACTTTTTAATCATTCAATCAATCAAAAAGTGAGTTAATGTATTTGAGAGTCCTTTTCTCCAAAACAAAACAAAACAAAACAAAACAAAACAAAAAACCAAACCAAAACCAAACAAAACCCCCTAATAATGTGACTTAAAAGTGGGCTAAAGACTTCAATAGACACTTCTAAAATGCCATACTATAATGGCTAATAGGTATGTGAAACAACGCGAAACATCACTAATCATCAGGAAAATGCAAATCAAAACCACAGTGAGGCATCACCTGTTAAATGGCTGTTATAAAAAAAAATAAGTCAACAGTGTTGGCAAAGTTATAGAGAAATTGGAATCATTGTACTTTGTTGGTGAGAATGCAAATTATTGCATCCACTATGCAAAACTGTTTATGATTTCTCAAAAAAATTAAAAATAGGACATTACTGATCCAGTAATCCTATTTCTGGATATTTAGCCTGAAGAATTGAAATCAGGATATCAAAGTGATAACATTCTCATATTCATTGCAGCACTATTTAACAATAGTCAAGATGTGGATACAAACTAAATATCCATCAATGGATATAGAAAATGTGGTATATACATAAAGTCGAATGTCATTCAGCCATGAGAAAAGAAGGAAATCCTGTATATGTGACAACATAGGTGAATCTTAGTTTACAACATAGGTGAGCTAAGTGAAATAAAGTAGTCACAGAAGGACAAATAACTTCATGATTTTACTTACGTGAGGTATCCAAAGTAGTGAAATTCATAAAAACATAGAGTAGAATGGTGGTTGCCTCAGTCTGGGAGGAGGACAAAATAGGTGTTGCTAATCAAGGAGAATAAAATCTCAGTTATGCACAATTAATAAGGTCTAGAGATCTGCTGTACAATATTGTCCCTATTATTAACAATAATTAAAAGTTTGTTAAGAGATCTCCTTTAAGGGTTTACTGCAATACAATAATTTTTTTTTAATTTAAGATGTTTTGCTTCCCAAAAGACTTATGAAAGGGAAAGGGAAGCTACAATGTAGAAGATTTTTGTAACATATTTTCAATGAGGACTTTCATTCAGAATATATAAAAATCCTTACAGATCAGTAACATAAGGTGGGATAACCTAATAGGCAAATAGCTTCTTGCCTAATAGATAACAGTCTTCACAAAAGATAACAAAAGCCTTAGAACATGAAAAATTCAAATGTCATTATCCGAAAAAGACAAAAGAGATATGAGAGTCTCCTAAACCCTACAAAAGTGGCTAAAATTAAAAGAACTGGCAACATTAAGGGTTCTTGAGAATATTAAGGAATTAGGTCTCTGACACATTTCAGGTAGGAGTATATATTGGTACAACATACTTTTTAATCACTGTTGAACCATCTAGCGTCTATTATGTTTCAATTAAATTTTTTTATCAAAACTTTTTTAAAAGATTTATTTATTTATTTGGAGGGAGTAGGGGCAGAGAGAGAGGGAGAGAGAATCTCAAGCAGGCTCCTCACTGAGCATGGAGCTTACTCAGGGCTGGATCACACCACTCTGAGAACATAAACTGAACCAAAACCAAGAGTTGGCCACTCAACCAACTGAGCCACCCAGGTGCCCTGGATTCAATTAAATTTGTAAATCTTATTTTCATTTTTAAAACTGTATTTATTGTACTTAAATTTTGCATCTATTTTAAATTATTAACTTGATTTTATTTTCCTGAATTTTGACAAAGATAATTCCCCATGAAGTCTAATTCCCCATGAGTCAATTAGCAAAAATATTTTTTTTCCTTTTCCAATTAATTTGAAGCTGATTGTCTTTACTTCTCCCTTTGCTATACTTTTAACTTTAAATCTTGCTTGCTTCTCTTTCAACTCAGTCATCTATGTGTATTTAAGTTTCTGTATATTTAACATAAACTCAGTCAAAATATTTTTGGATACATGGGCATGGAGAATTAAGAAAAATATTCTGAAACTCGTATAGAAAGAAAATAGTGGTATCCACATAAACTTTAGTACTAACAATGAATAAGATATAGAGCTTTTATTTTCAAATAACATCTTTCTGATTTTTAATGTACTATCAAATATTAATTAAAATAGCTCAGATACTTTGGTAGATAGATAAATTAAGGAAAAGTTTCTCATAATCACAATAACCAAAGAAAATTTCCATTAACAATGTAGATGCATATCTTCTTAAATATTTTTCTAAGCAAAACATAGATATATTTATACTTTTGTTTAGAGACTATTATGCACAACTATGCATGTCATACAATATAGGCCTATGTCATATTTTGTGACATAGAGTATTCAGTTTATTTATTTATTTATAAATTATTTATTTATTTTTAAAGATTTTATCTATTTATTCATGAGAGATACAGAGAGAGAGAGAGAGAGAGAGAGAGAGAGACAGAGACACAGGCAGAGGGAGAAGCAGGCTTCATGCAGGGAGCCTGATGTGGGACTCGATTCTGGGACTCCAGGATCACACCTTGGTCCAAAGGCAGGCGCTAAACTGCTGAGCCACTCAGGGATTTATTTATTTATTTATTTTTAGTATTCAATTTAAAAATGAAAAATAATTTATTTTAAAAATCCATTATTATGAATATTTAGACTACTTCCAGTTTTTCATTGTTGTAAACACCCCATAATAAGCATTATTATATAAATACACATTTTAGAGCAATTGTCGAATTATAGTCTCAGGATATATACTAGAAGAGAAATTGATCAAAGCATAAATATAATATGTACACTATCATTGTTTTTTATCCTTATTGCCAGATTATCTAGTTGTGGTGATAATCACCAATCTATTATACCAAGTTGTAACTTTTATAAGTAATTTATTATTAGGCAATTAGATATGTGAATGGTTTACTTTCTGAGCTATAGTATACCTTAAATTTTAATTTTACTATCCTAATTCATTTTCTTTGGTATTTTCACCATGTCATTTACTAATGAGCTCTTTCTATAATGAGTATGACAGGTAGAAAACATACAATATAGTTATATGAGATTACAGGCATTTTTGAGACTTCCATTTTATGAGAGATGCTTAGTATATTTTTACTCTTTCCCATCTCTCATTTCTCTGATTCTTGTTATGTAAATTGGGATTTTGGGACTAGCCTACTGTTAATAAATTCCTTTTTTTAAACATTCTTTATCTTGTTCCAAAATTTTTGTCATTTTCAGTTTTGTACTGAAGTTTGCAACATTTTTTAAAACTGGTTTCATTTTTCATAATTATGAAGGGTGATTTTAGATTTTAATTACATTAAGATCCTTTTCCATCCAGAGACCTTGGAATGCCCAAATCTAGCCTTGAGTGTCCTTTTGAAGTCATTCAATAAACTCTATATGTATGTCAGTGTGTGTATCATTCTGCATCCTATTACAGTTGTAACAAGAAATAAACATTCATTTAAAAAATATATATGCAAAAGAATCAAATAATCATCGTTAATCTTAGCACCTAGGATGGTCATTGTTACAACATTTTAATATATAGATTTACACACATGAATGGATGTGTGCATATATATAGTATTTTTATATTTTATTAACTGTGATTGTACTTAGAATTCTCACATTTTTTTCTTTTATTCTAAATTAAAATTAGTTCATATACTTAGAATGGAAATTGCAAGGCACTTTGTTTTATTGACCTAAATAGTTTCCAAACATAGACAAATGAACAAGTTAGGGAATTTGAGGAGGTAACTTCTATTATAAAACTAAGAGTATTTGCAGTTGAGGTAACAGATAATTGTTTTTATTGGAATTAGTTTTTATTTTTCTGATCCTTTCCCTTCAGTTAACTGTGCCCTTTAAATTACTTATATTAGAGCTCAAAAAAAAAAAAAGGCAACACTGGCACTTTGTGTTGTTTTATTTTGTTTTCTCTTACAGCAACAGTCTCTAATGACCTTGGCCTAGAAGAAGGACATTACCAAATAAATCATCAGAAACTGACCTAAACCAAGAAGGGAAAAATAATTTCACCCTCACCTCTGTTTTCACTGCTGGGGGTTTAAAGTATGAAATAAAACATCTGCACTTGAATCTCTTAAATTATGTCTGATGTTTTCTCTGTATTTTTAGTCTCAACCTCTTCCCTATATACTCCCAACTTGAATCCAGAAGAGGCTTTGAATCGGTGAAGCAGCCCAAAACCCTCGTCTCATGACATCAAAAGAGCCTGCCAGTTCAGTTTCATGACCCGAGGATAGCATGTCCTGTTTTTCCTTATGCTCCTTAGGTTGACCTGAATCTTCTTCTTTCAGTCCAATCTCCTTCTTTCTCTTCAGAGCTCCTAACTTTCATCTAGCCTGTGATTTGCCCCAGTGGCACTTACTCAATCTTCCTCTTGTTACTGCTTCTCCTCTTTGAAAGATTTGTATCCACTTTAGCCAGTCAAGACATCTGTTTACCAAAAAAGAGTAGATTTATCATGGAGCTGAGGAAGCAAAAGCATCAGGATCACTTACTTGAATAGGGCTCTTTTCAAAGTCAGGACCTTAAATTTTGTATTCTTTTTCTCAGGGTTCATCAAATTTTATATAGTTTGGGCCCTACAGAACCTGGATCTTCCTCTTTACTGGCACCCTTGGCAGTGGTGTGCTGGGCCAGTTTCTACCAGCTGGCAAGAAATTTTGCACTCATAAAAAAAGACAAGTTTACTGAAGGTGTGGAGAAATTGGAACTATTACACACTGTTGATGGGAATGCAAAATGAAGATGTTATAGAAAAAAGTATGGAGGTTCCTCAAAAAATTAGAACTTGAACTACCATATGATCCAGCAAAGATGGAGTAGAAATGTTTTGTAGGAAAATCATTTTGCTTTTGGATTTGAAAAGGAGATGATGCTGCAGTTAGGAGAATGCTGCTGAAATAAAATGTTCTGCTTCCTGGAGAAAACTTCTCTATTACTCATAATTCCATACAAATTGTGTGAAAAAACTGAAAATTTGGAAATCACATAGTTATGTAATACTTTAAGGATATTTTTCCTGTTTAGGAAATGCAAGGCTTAGTAATTCTGTACCAGCCAAAATATGCGATCTTGTGCAGATATACAGTCATGTGAACTCTTCCTTCAGTACTAGATGTAAGTTCTCAGAAATCCAAATGCAGCACCATTTCCTCATTGCTTAATGCAGACAAGCTTTGGTATATGACATTTTTCTGGAATTATTCTGGAAAAATAATCACTTACCTCTACAGTGTTAATTTCTTTTATTTATTTATTTATTTATGATAGTCACACACACAGAGAGAGAGAGAGGCAGAGACACAGGCAGAGGGAGAAGCAGGCTCCATGCACCGGGAGCCCGACATGGGATTCGATCCCGGGTCTCCAGGATGGCGCCCTGGGCCAAAGGCAGGCACCAAACCGCTGCGCCACCCAGGGATCCCTACAGTGTTAATTTCTATGAATTCATTTCAGTTCTCTTTTAATTTTTTGTTAGGTTTTTTATATTTGATTATTCCTCGTTTAAAATTTGGTCCTTTCATTTCGGAAACATTTCCATTCTCTTCTGATTCCTAGTAGTGTGTCTATTTCTGATGATTCTTTCTCAGTGTACTTTGTTACCATCCATTTAATTGCCCTTAAATATTGGTGTTATTTATCCTTGACTTTTGTGTCTTTTCCTTGTATACAAGTAGCTCATAATTATGTGCATATTCTACCCAGGGAGATTTTGCAAAATACTTATTCTGAGGTATCTATCTTTGAAATATGTAATCAGTAGGATATTTCTCTGATAATGCTGGTTATTCTCCTGATATAAAATACTCTTCATTGCTGCTAACTCAAATACACACACACACACACACACACACACAGAATCAGTGTTTTATCTGAGTTCATATGCCTACCTAAATGCCCACTAGCCTTATGGTGAACTAGACACAGATTACCAAAATAATTCTTGTAGGTGGTTGTACCTCTCCCTAAGTGTGTTATGTGAGGTTGCTTTTTTGAACTCCTGGGTAAAAGAAGAATCCAACTTAAACAGGTAGAGCTCAGGACATGCAGAGTACGCACATGTGGATCACCAAAGGAAAATATACAGAGCTTGTCTGCCTCTCCAGAATTACAGTTAGGATCCAGGGAAAGATACCAAGGAGAATGAACTCACCTATGAAATTTGAGATTATTCATAATAACATTTTCCCCTTTGACTCATTGCTTTAGCTGATTCTTGGATTCTGATGGATTATGTCATCTTGTGCAGGTATGGTACTTTTTCTGGGTAGCAGAGTCTGTCCTCTATTTGATGACTAGCCTTCCAGGCTTCTTCAGTCTTGCAGCTCTATATTTTCATGTTGCTAACAAAACTGAAGAAAATGTGGAAAACCCGTATCTGTCCACTAACTAACTGGCAGTGATACAAATAATTTATTCCCATGATGCATTGGCTCAATCTAGTCACATAATTCTAACTTCAAAGGAGGCTGCACAAACTGTGGAAGGAGCCTCGGTGTCCATCGAAAGACGAATGGATAAAGAAGATGTGGTTTATGTATATAATGGAATATTACTCAGCCATTAGAAACGACAAATACCCACCATTTGCTTCAACATGGATGGAACTGGAGGGTATTATGCTGAGTGAAGTAAGTCAATCGGAGAAAGACAGTGTATGTTCTCATTCATTTGGGGAATATGAATAATAGTGAAAGGGAATAGAAGGGAAGGGAGAAGAAATGTGTGGGAAATATCAGAAAGGGAGACAGAACATAAAGACTCCTAACTCTGGGAAATGAACTAGGGGTGGTGGAGGGGGAGGAGGGCAGGGGATGGGGGTGAATGGGTGACGGGCACTGAGGGGGACACTTGACGGGATGAGCACTGGGTGTTATTCCGTATGTTGGTAAATTGAACACCAATAAAAATTAATTTATTAAAAAAAAACAAAGGAGGCTGGCATACATCAGGAGAACTCGTGGAATATTTGGTGAGAATTACTGTCCCTACCACATATGAAATGGAAAAAAACGAAGGTTGTGACATCTGTAACTCGATACAAGGCTGCCATAGTTCCCATGATGTAAGACAAGACCTTCTAAAGCACCCTCTGAGAGGGCTGTGGTGATTTGGCTATGGCTTCCCTCTGCTCCATTCCCTCACAAGTCCCTATAGAATCAGTTTGCTAGTTTCTGAGTTGGATGCTAAACAAATTTCTGAGGTATATTGACATTGGAAAAGTGCCACTGCTACATCAATGGCTATATATGCCTATATCCATTTCTAAAAGTTGGACACCCTGGCTACACATAAGTGTATTCATAAACTGAGTGCCATGAGTGACAGCCACAAGGATGTTCTTTGCAGTCTTCCTACTACAAGGATCATGAGTGGTGAAGGGTCTGAGCTGCTACACAGTTTTGTTAAGGCCACACTGTCCATGATCCCAACCAATGGTGGAATCTTAATAGAGATACTAAGGCAGGCAATCCTGGAAGACTCTGTACTCCTCTGACAGCTGCCTCTGGCTTGAGGACTTCCCCACAGTCCTGCTGAGCCTTCCTTACATTGAATGGATCCTCCTTAAACTGTGTGAATCCTAGGCTACTACTATTCATTTTTCTGTCCCTATCTCCTTCCCTTGGGGTCAGACTTGCTTCACTGTCTGCCAACTTTCTCAGGCTTTTTATCATTCTCCCCATTTTTCACAGTGGTTTTCATTCTAATAAAATCCATGCACATTTATGCCTGTCTTGGCATCTCCAGATTAAAACAATACTGGAAGTGTTACAAGTAAATTGGTAGTAAGATGTGGACTTGGTTTGATTTCTAATTCTTTTTTTTTAATTATTTATTTATGATAGTCATACAGAGAGAGAGAGAGGCAGAGACATAGGCAGAGGGAGAAGCAAAGCATGCTCCATGCACCGGGAGCCGGACGTGGGATTCGATCCCGGGGCTTCAGGATCGCGCCCTGGGCCAAAGGCAGGCGCCAAACCGCTGCGCCCCCCAGGGATCCCCTGATTTCTAATTCTTTAACAAGCAAGGATGACAGGATCCTGGTTGGAAAAAGGGCGCAGATTGTCCCTACCACCAGGTGGCAGTAAAACTCTAAAAATTTCATGGCGACAAGGAAAACTAGCCGGCTAGAGGAGAATGTGGTGGTGGAAATAAAGCAGACGTTTAAATCAGTGGAGTTAGCTGTTTAGTGCTAAATTTTGTTGATGCCTTGTAGGAGGATAAGAGATTGAAAGGTATTGACAATCAGTTACTTCCTATGCCTGCAAGCCATAGAGTCTCAGTGGGGCTTACAAGGAGGCCTTTATCAGCCGTTGTTGCATGCGGGATATGGGTGAATGGCTGGCAGATGTGTTTGTCACACTTGCAAGTTCCAGAGACATCTGAATACTCAGCCAGAGGAGATCTGTTAGGCTAAGGTCATAGCATTATGGGAAAAACCTGAAATCTTGAAAACAGGGAAGAGGACTTCTTGATGTATGCCATTCTCTTCCCACCTCCTCTGCTCATTGGTTGGAAGCCACTATGCTTGAAGGTGTTGTAGACATTTCTTCCCCACAAGACAATAGGTGCCTCCACGCCTATCCCATAGGAGTTTCCCATCTCTTCTTTTGACTCCTAGGCCAATAATTAGGATTAAATCTGTCATAACACAGATGGTGATCTACTGGTCAGGGGGTAATGCTTAGCTGCCAGAATCCAAGAGGCCATAATTACCACTGTGATTAGTATGGGTGAGGAGCCGCCAAGGGGACTTGACTCACAGGTAGTTTTGCAGACAGTAAATAGAGGATTGTGGCTTTCTGGATGCAAACTAGACTGGCAGCCACTAGGGAGTTGATTACATCAATAATGAAGAGAAAGCAAGAATAGCAGGAGACCAAGGATTATCTCCCAATAAAAAAAAATCACAATCCTTGAGTCTCAGCTCCCAGACCTGAACCAGTTTTTATTTAGTTTTTTTTTAATATTTTATTTTTTTTTATTCATGAGAGACACAGAGAGGCAGAGACATAGGCAGAGGGAGAAGCAGGCTCCCTACAGGGGATTAATTAATCCCAGGACCCCGGGATCACAACCTCAGCCAAAGGCAGAAGCTCAACCACTGAGCCACCCAAGTGCCCAGATCTGAAACTCTTTGAATGATAATATGGCTTGTTGGAAAGACCCTCTAACTCCATGGAAAGTATAAAC